TGTGCCTGCAGGCATATTATTCCACCCATCTTTCCCCAGAAAGATCCAGGTAACTCTGAACAGGGCCACTAGTTGGGAATCTGTGGATGCAGTTGGCATGGGAAGAATTGCCACTTTGCCATTCTTACTGCCACTGCACAGACTCAGACGTGAACTTGCAGCAATGCTTGATCACGTCCACATCTGGTTTTCTGCCACCATCTCTCTAGGTGCCCTTTGAGTCTCCTCATTTCCCTTGGAAAACCAAGGAGCAACCCGGGGTCCCCGACTGGGCAGAGCCTCCCAGGAACAGCAGCGTCCAGCGCTCTGGCCAGCTCCACATTCCAGAGCCAAGCTGGGTGCAACAAGGACGGTCAGCCTAGTGGTCAGGAAAACCTGAATGACTGGAGCAGAAGGCCCCTGGAGGCAAGGAAGGGCTTGTTTACCCTCTTCCAAGCCATGGCGTGATTTGCTGATTTTGAAATCACCTAATTAGCAAAATGCATCCAGAATCAGTAGAAGCCTCTCCGCGTCCTCTGCTGGGCCAGACATTGCAGGTCTCTCAAATATCTTCAGCTGGACAGGATGGGGTGGCTGAGGCAGCCGGGCTTTGCATTCCACATACATGTCTAGTGGTCATCTTCGATAGGAGCATTAGCAGATGAGACATACCAGGCAGTGAGTGGCTCCAGTTCCCCCAGATGGTCAACCCAGCCACTCCTTCCTTAACACCTGGAGACCGGCTCCCTCTGAACATGATGCACGAGGAGCCATCCAGCTCCCTTCCCTTTAGCGTCAAAAGGGGTACTCAAGTGAGGGGGGCTCTCTGTGCTCTTTCATCATCACAGCACAACAAGGTCATGGAGGGAAAGGAAGCTGGAAGGGCAGTTTCTGTCTCCCACCATTGCCATCAGGCATCTCCTCCCTTGACAGCCACAGACCAGTCTCCTCCTTGCTGCTTCTCCTCCGCAAGGCCACTGGAGGTCAGACCCAGCCCTTTGCCTTCTCCTCTGCAAGCGGGTGGTTGTGGAAAGGCCCATCGCTGCCCTAGTTTTTTTGCCAAGGAGGAGAGATTCCCAAACAAGCAGCCACGCTGGCTGCCAAGCTCCTGCCTGGCCCAGCTGCCCAGATTGCTTGTAGGGTCCTAGAGGAAAACTTAGGCAGTAACACCCCCTTTCTTTCTGCTACAGAGGAGACCACCCCTTCCTTGGAATCTCCGGTCCCTGTGACAGAGAGCAGCAAGGAAATTGTGACGGTGACCCAGAAGATGGAAGAGCTGCAGCTGTCCAAGGAAGAGCCTGAGGGGGCCAAGGAGTCCAGAGGGGCCATTTATTCTGTGCCCCTCTTCCAGGACCTCCTTGAGGTGCCAGAGGAACCAAGGAAAACCTTCGAGGAGGCAGCCACCACAGGGCCCGAGGAGGCTGGCCCAGGTGATTGTGACGGGAGGAGCGATGGAGAAGAGGGGGAAGAAAGAGGTGGCAGTTGTGCCAGGAGACGCGGGCCTGGTAGGTGGTAGAAGAGAAGGGGCAGCTTTAAAAAAAATAATAATAAAGAGTTTTGCAATACTAAAAGATAATACAAACTAAAAAAGAAAAGAATAGAAAAAAGAAATAAAAACTGCAAAAAAGAAAAAGGAAAAAAGAAAAGAAAGGAGATAGAAACTAAAGAATATGTAAAGAAGTGACTCCCAACCTTCCTTGCAACAAATACAAGCAAATTAATAAATCCCCACCCCCTGTGAAATTACATACATGATTCACTCCTTCCCATAACCCCCCCCCCATCCATTCACAAATCCAAAAATTGTCGTCATTTCTGTCCATGGCAAAAAGTCCCTAAAGGGTTTCCAGAATTTTATAAAAGTATTTCTTGTTTTAACCCTGATCAAACAAGTCCATTTTATATTCCTTTCTTTTGCTTCTAACAATCTTCAGTTCATCAAGTTGCTGTTATAGGGTTGAATCTCCATTCAGACTTTCTTTCTCCCATCTCAAAGATTTCTTCAAGGTTTTAGAAACCCTCTTTTGTAAATCCAAAAATAAGTCCTTGCCCAGGTCTTTTTTCATCTCTTGATTTGTCATTTGCATTTCCGCTCTGACTGTTGTCAGATTTCTGCAGGCAATCTCTCTTTTGCCTGCCCCTCCCTCCCTGCTCCCCTTGCAGAGCAGAGAAATTGGAGAGGGTTTTCAAGAGAGTAAGCTGTTTGCTCTTCTACACATTGAAAGCAGTGTGATGACACCAGCAGTGGGAAAGGGTCGGGCAAAGGAGAGATTGCCTACAGAAATCGCTTGCTTCCTCCTGCCCTTGCAGAGCGGAGAGATTGGAGAGGAAGGGATTTCAAGAGAGTAAGCTGTTTGCAAAGCATGCCCACGGCTTCCAGCCCCGGGCTGCAGTGCAGTTGCATTGCTTTCTATGTGTACAAGACAGTAAGCAGGCACTCGAGCATTGCAAAGGGCAGGGGAGTGGCTAGGGGGCAAACAAAAGCCAAAGGGGTGAAACTGAGTAGTCTTGTCTCTTTCCAGCCAGAAAGCACAGTTGCAGTCACGTGGTTTCCCACTTAGCAGCTGCTTCGCTTAGCAGCGGAGTTGCCAGCCCCAGTTAGGATTATTAAGCAAGGGCTACCTGTATTCAGGTAGTCTCAGATTTTATTGTGTTGTTTTCAACTGTCAGCCAATAATCTATTTCCTGATAGACTAAACAATTTGTGTTTCCATGAAAAACTTAGCAAAAGTTCTAATATTCCAAATTTGTTTGGTTCCTTAATCCATTTAAAGCTTTCTTAAATTAAATTCTTACTTAGCTTTTTGCCATTTGTTTTTTATTACTTAAGTTCTTTAAAGTGCTAGTTAGCTTTTCTTCTATTTTGGGATGAAGTTTTACTCACCTGGTAGATTTTAATACTTGTTGTTTGGAAGACCTCTTTTAACTAAATAATATAATTTAATATAATTTAGCTATAACTAAAATAATTATAAATCCAAAGGAGATTAGAAAGCGAGGTGGTTGAACCCAGAGTCCTTAAAGGCTCCGCCGTGGTTGAGAGCTTGACGGCTTCCCTCGTCTCCCGGCACTCAGACCCGTGGGATGACCGCTCCCCTGCGTCTTCCTTGTGAGGGGCAGCCGTCCTGAGTGCAAGTGGGCAATCTCTCACCTCCCCTTGTGCAGATGGGTTCCGCCGGACCGTGCTTGGCACCGGAGTCAGACGCTTTAGTGGCCAGGCATTCCACAGTGGCGAGGGTCCCACTAAGAAGGCCTTGAGGTTTGTGCCTAGATGGGGGAACATCCCATATTCTGCATTACAGACAACAAGCAGAAAGATGCAGTCTTCTCCAGCCGGGGGCGGGGGGCATTTTTGTCCGCCTGAGCTCCATAGCAGCAGCTCAGTGGGAGAAGGGGCTTGCCTGCCCAAGGGCTCCGTTTCTGTGGCCACCTCCTGACCACCTGCACAGGGGCTCAGGCGGGGGCAGTTGGTGGGAGGCCGCTGCTGAGCCCTTGCTGTGCAAGAGGAGGGCTTCTCACTGCCTGAGGGGGCAGGGTGTGCATTGTGGGGCGTGTGTGTACATGTGAAGAGTGAAAGAGCACTTAGGCTCCTTTGAATGTTCTTCCTGCCCCCAGGGTGTGGGTGTGATTGCAGAACCTCCTCGCCCACCACATCCACCTGGTAATTTTACGTGGACGTCTGATAGGAGTTTGATAGGAATGGCTGATTAATATCTGGTGGTTGATGTTGGATCAATTAATTGCAAATTTATTGGAATTTGGCATGAAGCAACAAAAGGCACACGTGTTTGATCACTGCCACTTGTATGAAAACTGAGGGCAAAGGCGTGTCCCCCGGAAGCAGCACGATGCGTGAGACGAAGCTCGGCTGCTGGAGCGTCCGTTCGCTCTGTGGATGCCGAGGGGGGTGTTGCCATCTCACTGGCTTCCTTTGGCCTTGCAGGGGCGGAGCCTGAACCTGACATGGAGCAGGTGCCAAGCGCCACGGAGGCCCACGTGCTGGATCAAAGGCAGCAGAGGGAAGGGGAGCCAGCGGCTTCAGAGGCAGCTCCAGAGGAGGTGGAGACCGAGGATGGAGAGGCCGCGGGGAGCAAGATCTCTCCAGGTCTCAGCCAGCCCAGGGATGAGGATGAGCCCCACAGTTCCCACAGCCCTGCAGAGCCCTCCCCAGAGGATGAAGGAACAGGGCCCACAGCCGCCAGCTCCTCCGACAGCCCACAGGGAGAGGATGTGGGTGAAGCGCGTGAAGGTCCCTCAGAGATAGCCACCGAAAGGAAGGCTTCCCCTTCAGAGCAGGTGACTCACGGTGCAAGCCACAGCTCCAGCACGCCTGAAGACGCTGGGGTGGGAAGCGGGCACGTTCCTGGGCTGGCAGGCACTCGCTTCCCCAGTCCTCCTCGAGGGGCAGGTGCTGTGCCTCCAGGGACAGCGGCCTCCCCGGTAGCACCCTGGGGGGCAGCGCTGCTCCCATCCCTGAGCACAATGCCAGCCGGCCAGTCTGAAGAGAGCGGGGACCATTCGGGTTTCTCCTGGCCTGCACCACCAAGGGCCTCCCCGGTTGCCGTCTCCGGTCCTCCCGACGAGGCCACGGCTGCCTTAAAGCCTTTTGTCGGCTCTGGAGAGGAGCCTGCTGAGGCCGAGGCTGAGGACAGGCCTTCCAGAGAAGGCCCCTGGGCTGAGGCCTCAGAGGAGGACGAGGACCCTGCTCTGAGGACAGCGGTGCCGGCTGCCGGCGAAGACGGGCATCCGGGACACGGGGAGGTTGTCCCCTCTGGAGGCCCTTTGGGCTTGGATTTCTTCAGCACCCCATTCCTGGAGGCCTCCTTGACTACTGCCCACCCTCTGCCAGCCCTGCCCACTGAAAGCGCCAGCCTTGGAGCGTCTGGCAGCATGTCAGGTAACCCTTTTGGCTCTCTGGCTTTGGCCTCCTTGGCCACCGTCTTGGCTGTCCTGCCACACTAAGCCCCTCCCTGGCCTCGCGTCTCCTTTCAGGCTGCGCTTCCCTGTGTCTCTCCTCCTCCTCCTCCTCCTCTTCTTCTTCCTCCTCCTCCTCTTCCTTAGGAACCAGAGAAGCACATGTGTTGCCCACAGACAAAAACCACCCTAGAGAGCACATGCTCTGTAAGTCTCTCCTACTTCTATGAAGTGTTTTAACCACGGTTTCCATGAAAAACAGACCAGGAAGGAGACTAATTTTAAAGAGAAACAGAAATAAGAAATTAAAAGCTTTCTAGAAGAAAACCGTCTGGATGTCTGTACCTGTATGTGCCTTTCTTTTACTTTCCCCCCTGTGCCTTCTTCGTCTTCTTTCTTCCCCACACTAATGAACTCACCCCTCTGATGTCACAGAATCGCTGCCCCTCCATCAGAGCTAGAAAGGGCGCAAAGGCCATCATGCCCACCCCTGCTCAGCACAGAAGCCCAAACAGGAGCGTCCCCCAACTCCGCCGCCACCTCTCAGCCAGACTGAGAAAGAGACATAGCCAGGTTTCAGAATTCAGGGAATGGGGAGGGAAGGGGAAAAGGAGGGTTAGGACAGGCCTGCAGCTTCCCTGGTGATCGGGGGGGAAACTGAAATGGCTAACCGTAACACATTTTATAAATAATAATAATAATAATAATAATAATAATAATAATAATAATAATAATAATAATAGTACTCTTTCTGAGTTACCGCATGGAGCGAAACGCAACTACTTTGGCAGACGTTTTTTACTTCTATGAGACGGCGAAATATCCCCAATGTCTTGGAATTAGTTAATTAATTGGACTAGAACATTCTGAGGAATAGCAGGTCCTTTTGAACTGAACTCCTTTAAAATTTGGGTTTTTAAGTACTTTTTTTGTTCTGTGACCAAAAGGTATGAAATTGTGGAGGGAAATTTGGAGTTTCAGAGGTGGAGTTTTGGGCAATGCGTGCTGTGTCCGAAGGCAGGAGGAGAGCTCCCTGGTCTTTGCCATACAGGGACGCCCTATTGCCTCGCATCGCTTTCTCTCCCTCTTGGCCTTAACGGCTGCAGCACCAGCCACGCGAAGAGTGTCCACCAGTTCTTTATTTAGTTACCTTTTTATCCCACCTCTCTTCCAAGGTTAGGGCTAGGAAACAAGAGGTGGGATATATCCTGGTTTACCCAAAGAAGCCATTCCGCTTCTTTGATGGCGGAGCAGGAATGGAACTCTTCGCCTTGTCCTGTGGTTTCTCAGAATAGCCAGCCCTTGGGCCTTCCGCGCCCCCCTCCCCGATTGCCAGCAAGAAAGGATGGTCCACGAAGTAGTAAAACCTGTGGGGAGGGGGGCATTCCCTGATTCCACCCGTTCTTGTGGCAAGCCTGGGTCACCGCCTCAGGCCCTGGCTGTCTTGCTACCTCGCTTTCTCCTTTTTGAACATTTAAAAGGTGAGTTCCTTGTCAAGAACATCTTCTCCGTCAGCTTCTGCCTGACCAAGGCATAGCTCAGATCCCAAACGGCAGTCCAAGGAAATCCTTCCTTCCTTCCTTCCTTCCTTCCTTCCTTCCTTCCTTCCTTCCTTCCTTCCTTCCTTCCT